AAACGTCCAGATGAATACAATCAACTTATTGGATTTCCTTATCTCGATGATTGAGCATGCAACAAGACAAAACGTTTCTACATTTTAACTTTCAGGATCACGGATGAACCCTGAGTTTGATTTGGTGGATAAAGAAATGAGTTGGTCCGATGCTCAGAGGTACTGCAGGGAGAACTTTTTGGACCTGGCCACTGTCAAGAACACCGGAGAGAACCAACAAGTTCATGAAAAGGCTCAGAGTAAAAGGGTGTGGATTGGCCTGCACAGAGAGCCACACATTTACTGGTCTGACGGCACAAAGTACTCATTCTCAAACTGGGCCAGTGGGATGAACCCGTTTAGGGGTATGAGTACGATCTGTGCAGCTCTGACTCGTTCAGGAGAATGGAAGACTTTGTCCTGTGAAACAAGATTACCGTTTGTCTGCTACAGCCTCCCTACACCTGGTGAGCCTTCATTGTCTTTCCTTTAAGGATCGCAAGCAATTTTAGACACACGGTGTTGTGCAAAAGTCTTGAGCCACCTGTAATGTCTGCATTTTCTGGAGAGTAATGGGAAACAGCTGCAGAGACTTAATAAATTTCCAAAACGGAAATATAGTTTTTATAAGGTAAACCCTCAGAGAGTTCAAGATCAAGGTATTTTATGCTTGAGTTAGATGAAAGACACTTAAAGCATATGTTACAGGTCTTCTATGGATCCTGTTTTTAAACAGAAAAGCAGACCAGGAGTCATGACCTGCGTTTGGTCTGCAGGCCTTTCCTTGTTTGAGCTACAGGAGCATTGCAACGGCCTATCAGACCCATAGCTCTCTCCCCCTTGTGACATCTTCACAACTTTAAGTGAAAAGTGCAATACCACAATGAAATTTGTCAAAATTTTGTGAGGTTTAACCTGAGATTCTAGCATTTCGGGCAAAATAAATTAATATTTAAAAATCTATTCAGGATTGTAATGAATCGATATCGCGTTATTAAAGCTAGAATCGATTTGTATCGGAAAATCGATAATTAAAACCCACCCCTAGTCAGTATAACCCAAGGTGAAAGCCATTTTCCTTTCCTGGTGTCATGTGATAATGTTACAGGGCCAAGGTGCAAGGTCAGGGTGGGGGGGGGGGGGGGGGGGGGGTGCTCAGACCATATGCCACACACTGCATCACTTGGCTATTATCTCAGAAGGAAGCTTCTTGTGAAGATAATGCAAAACAAATCCCACAGTTTGCTGCAGACAAGCAGACTAAGGACATGGATTAGCTGTGGTCTGATGAGATCAAGATAAACTTATTTGGTTCAGATGGTGTCAAGAATGTGTGGCAGCAACCAGGTGAGGAAAAAGATAAGTGTGTCTTACCTACAGTCAAACATGGTGGTGGGAGTGCTGGTGGCACTGGGGGGCTACAGTTAATCAAGGTAACCACGAATGCCAATATGTAGAGTGACATACCGAAGAAGCTGAAGCAGATCATGATCCCCTCCCTTCAGAAACTGGGCCAAAGGGCAGTATTCCAAATGATAACAACCCCAAACACACCTCCAAAAGTTAGTGTGGGACAAAGACCATGTTTGTGTGAGACACTGTTCAGGATGAGAGGAAGCTTAAAAACACATCTACACAAACAAAGTCAGACACGCTGCGATTAATTTTAATAAAGTTTTTAAGAATGCATTCTAAAAAGGAGCTTGTCTTTTTGTCAGCCTCGTTTTGTGCGAGAGACTTGTTCATTTCTCTAAACTAGATCAAATTAAAATGTGGGACATTGTCTGGACCTGTGTGATATGGAGAATGAGGGCTAAACATTCACTGCTGCCTGCAATCACAGCAGCAGCAGTGATGGTTTAAATGATGGTGGCTTCATTTAGCTTCTGTTTCTGTGTCTGCAGTAAAGAGGCAGGTAGTGAAGCTCACAGTACATGTGGAGGGCTCTCCTGTGGATCTGAATGACTCTGCTGTGAAAGCAGAACTGCTGACAAGGGCAAGTTCCCACAGTCCACCTTTACACTCACACCGTTTATATGTATATGAATTTGCTGATTTTGAATGAAAAGAACAAACATTGTGGCTGCTGTCTGACAGGTGAAGGAGCAGCTGAAGAAGAAAGGAGTGAGTAGAGTCAGTGTGAGGTGGAGAGTGCAGCCTGATGGGAAGCTCTTGGCTGGAGATGGAAGAAGAAAGAAGACTCAGAGAAAAAGAAAAATGTTTCAGAAGCTTTTCTGCTTGAATCATGTGACAGCCAATTAAACTTTATTATCCACACGTCACTCTCCCAGCTGTGTCTGAGCACAGATGTGGGCTAACATCTGTTTTTAGGCTCTTCTGTCACAGTTTTTGTGGGCGTGGCCTCTTCTTTGGCTTTCATACAGATAAATGCAGACGTGTTTGTGAGCCACAGGTTTCTGCTGACACACGTTCACTTTTGGAAATCAGAGAGACAAACATGCTGTCACCATGGAAACAAGCACAGGAAATACAGCAGGCTGAAACTGTCATGGTCCTGGCTCTTTGAGTTTCTGGACTGTGTGTTTATTATTAAATATTTTCTATGTGATTATTAGTTTGCTGATTGTTTCTATTTCATCTCCGTGTTATTCCTCAGTGTTTCAGTCTGGAGTGTTTATTTCCAGTTACTGTTGATGTTGCTTTATTTTATTCCTTCACTGTTTCCCGTCTCATCCTCCTGTGATAAGTTCTTTCATGCGTCTGTGCTGTCATGTACTTAGGGTTCTCCCTTCCTGTTTTATTTTTTTGTCATTGTTTTAAATCACATGACAGAAACCAGCGACGGCCAAATAAAGCTTTATGAAGTATTGAAGCTCGTATTTAAAAAAGGGGTTGTTACTCAAAGCTTTCTAACACAGTCCTCTTTTGTGGCATCCAGTGGACAAAATGCAAAGAGCAGCTTGAATCTACAAATTAAAATGAATGCTTCATTATGATTGCCTACTCTGCAGAGCTAAGTTGGCAGCTTCTATTCAATATCATGTTACAGCTCTGATATTGGGCTACTGTTTGTTTTCTGATTAATAAATAATTATGATGAATGAACCATACTTGTTCAAACATGTGCCCTCGTGTAGTCTCACTTTGCTTTTGATTTCCTGACCAGATACATGCATTATGTATAATAATATACAACACACTCATAAAATAGGTTGGAAGTGTATTTGTGCTGCGAGATCCATCATTCCAAGTAGTTAAGTAACTAATCAATGGACAGATACATTTATACAGTGTATGTTTTTATTTATTTTTGACCTGGTTATAGAATTGCTAAAAAAAAAAGGCAAATAAAAACCACCGCAGATTCTTCAGCATCCTTCTCATTCTCAGAAGCCTTAGGAACTCCTGTGCAATCACACACTGTCCCAGTAGCTCACGAACATACATGCAGGGGTCCTACACTGACAATACCAGACTTTGTGAGTTTACCACACTGAAGATAGCTCCTAATAACTTTGTAACTTTGTGCCTCCAGATGCTACAGAGCTATTCAGACTGATGGATTGCCTAAAACTAGAAGAACCTCATCTATTCCCCTATCCGGTCATTAAGTCTGATGTCACTAGCCGTGTCTGGGTCTAAACTCCGCTGCAGGTCCATTTATCAAACGATCACTATGGCATTACTGAGAGTTGAAAAAGTCTTTCATCTTTAATAAAATGATCAGCGTTCTGCTCTACCAGGTGTAACAATTGAGTTTAACATCCAGGCATCCATGAAAATGGAATTTATGACATTTAACGGAGTTAGAAGTTAGCAGGGAGTTAGCTCGCTAGCTTCTATCTAAATACAATATAGCATGTCCTGACTGCGGGGTTTTGGAAACAAATTAAAACGTACAGCTCTGCTATCACTTCCAGCATAAATGAAGACAGAAAACTAAACAGCAGTGACGTTTGTAGGGTTACTGAAGTTGGGCTAGCTGGTATATAATGATGTGCTACGTGACCGCTAGCGACACAGCTATGTTAGCATAATATAAACAAGCTAACTTTTTTCCACTCGATAAAAGTTAACGTGAGTGTTCTCGGTGGTCAGGAACAAATGTAATCACATGGCAGGATGCTGTAAAAGGACCAAACTTCAGCCAGGAGAACAACTGAGATAATCTATCCACAATACGAGGTTAGTCATTCATATACTGCTGCTTGGGCTAGGCTGTAGTTACATCCTAAGGTTTTAAAAATAAATGATTAGCAGTAATAAAAGCTGATGGAGGTCAACAGTGATCACTGACTGTTTTAGGAACTTTTTGAGATCAAATAGAAGAAAATACAAAACATTAAACATGTTAACAACACAAAAGCCATATTAAACGCAGACTACTTTAGACCCGGAAGTAGGATTCGTCACGTCATCACTGAACAATCGGATTCTGACACATTGGCTGCTCTGAATAAGAGGTATGGCAAACCGCATAAACTAGCTCTTATGACTGTTGATGTGATGGATTCACCAGACATTCGATGGGGAGATACTAAAGAATTTGAGATAACTGCCCTGTGAATAAGGTCTCTCATTCGCATGCTCAACACTCTTAGCACAGAATGTGAAACTAAGGTGACATCTGCGTCACATTTGGAGCTACTTCTGAGTAAATTGCCAGGTGAGATGAGATCAGAGATTCGCTGAAAGATGGGCTGCCAATGTGGAATAATGTATACCCTCTTTGACCTGTCAGGATGGCTCAAATATTAGGCCTGGTGTCAGGCAGTCTCCTCCAAGCTAAACCAGTGTGTCCACAAAAAAGTTTCACTTAGGATCTTCTGTCCCTATCACAACAAAGTGATCGTCTTTGTTGCGATAGGGACTTCATGTAAGATCTCCAGATTTGCCACCTAAACTCAGCAACAGAAGTCTTATATCTGGACAGCTCCATAGATTACACACAAGTTCTCCTTAAGGTAGTCAGCCCCCCCCCCCCCGACATTTTTTTCCCCCAGGGGGAAGGGCCCACTCCTAAAGACCTTGTATGACTCTGTGGTGGCCTCGGCCATCTTTTATGGTGTGGTCTGCTGGGGCCGCAGCATCTCTGCAGGAGACAGGAAGAGACTGAACAGGCTGATCCGGAAGGCCAGCTCTGTTCTAGGATGCCCTCTGGACCCAGTGGAGGTGGTGAGTGACAGGAGAATGGTGGCTGAGCTGTCATCCCTGTTGGACAACATCCCCCACCCCATGCAGGAGACTCTGACAGCAGTGTGGGATGGAAAGATTTCGCAGGTCTTTCCTCCCCACTGCTGTCAGACTCCACAACAAAGACTTCAACTGATCAAACTCACACACACACACACACCAAGGGACTATTTTCTGTGGTGGAGACACTGCGTTCAAAGATTCTTTCAGTCATTTTAGTCCTGACCTGCAGCAGATCAGCTACCATTCCAACCCTCCTGCAGCACCACATTTTTGCAGAGTATGGGAGCTTATGTATGAGATTTATTTGGTTAAGACCTCAGTTTATACCACTTTTGGCTCAGGGACAGTGAGAGACCAAGTCCTAAGGCCTGTCCTCACTGAAATTGAGGTCATCCTGAATTCCAAGCCCCAGGGAAATATCTCAGCAGACATTGCAGAACTTGATCCTCTGACACGCAGTTGCTAGTTGGTGGGGCAGCTGGATAGCTCACTACCCCAAGTTGTGTATCCCAAATATTGTTGGACTGCAAACTTGTTTGGACTGCAAACCCAAGGAAACTGTCAAAATTCCTCACCAGACATCAATATTTGGAATGGTGGTGATGCTGGTTGATCCTCAGTTACCTCAGATTAGGAGAGTGACCAAGGTATTTTCAGGGTCGGATGGACGAGTGAGATCAACTGAGGTAAAGATAAAGCTCTGTGTGTACACAAGACCTTTCACCCACTTAACCCTTGTGTGGTGTTCATATTTTTGTTACTCAGCCAGTGTTCATGGGTCTGGTGGACCCGCTAGACTTTTGGCTTTCCAAATTAACACTATCAAACAATTTTATGTTAAATTACTCAACAGATGTTTACTTCATCCCAATTACAAGCCATATGAACAGCAAACATGGTTAATTTTTTCCCTTTACCTTTGTTGATCACATTTATGAATTAATGTGCTTCTCGTTTTTTTTTTTGTTGTTTTTTTAATAAAATGTTATAAAAAAAATAAATCAGTTGTAATCAAGTGGAGTGAGTGGAAAGACACAACACATTTACACGTGAAGCAATATGTTTCACAACTAAATGGCATCAGCTGCTCACCAATGGTGACATTAGGCCCAGGGTTGTAAAACAAGGGGAGGTGGTGCATCGACTTATCCCACACTGTCCTGATGGCAGCTAGCTTGTCTCTCTGCCGTCGAGCTGGTCTGTCGTCTCGGTTATCAAAACGGATAATCCTGGAAATTTTGTGGAAGTTTTCCAGAGACACTGATGCACCGAAATGTTCTTGCCGGTTTCTGCATCCCACAGGGATTCTGTGGATTCCCCTTCGGACCTGAAAACTCCTGCAAGGATAAGAACCCCAAAGTAGGGCTGTAGATGAATTTGGTCCATCTCCTTCCACCTCTCTCCAAAAACACACCTTCCTTCTAGATTACTGCAATCCAGAATAATTTTCTGGATGGAATCTGGGATGAAAAGATCAAATGAAGACTTGATGTCCTGCACATGAGTAACCGTCAGCCGTGTTGGCCCTGGCTTATCCCAGTAACAGCTCTGCAGGGTGGCTCATTTCTTGGGCAAGAAGACCATTCAATTTCACCAGTTATTGACATCCATATTTCTTCACTTGCTGTCTGGTGGGCTTGTTCTGGTCCTAGAGCTGGCTGCAGATGGGGTACTCATCTTCGTTTTGTTACTAAATGGTGCTCAACCTCATCCTCTTCTTCAAAGTCACTGTCAGACTCTGAATTTTCAGAAATGTGAAATATTCTGAAACCTCTTTGTCAACATCATCATCTGAAGCCCCTCTCTCTTCCAAAATCAATAAGGCCCTCGCAGCAGATAATCTTTTGCCATCTTGATCAGTTGTGATAAAGAACCACACTGGCAAAGTCTTATTTATAGTATTATGCCCCTAATTTGCAGGTGGGACAGGGTATGAGAAAATAAAATTTGGATTCCTCAAGAAAGAGGGTAAAATGTGCGGGAATGTCAGAGCAGACGGTGTTGATAGTTGAATTTTCAATAATGTTGCAACTTTGTGTGGAGCAGGAGGGGAAGAAAACACTATCAGCAGCACCAGAAAGGAGGAAGACAGAGTGTGGGAACACAGGACCTGCACTTTCAACACTTTTATTAGACCTGGGTCCAGTGGACCCGGGTAATTAACTGTTTAATTTTTCTTTTGAAAAAAACTGAAAACGGGTCTCACAGACCCGAACACCATACAAGGGTTAATAGTGCTCCTAGAGATAACAGCTCACGAGGGTTAGGTGTGCTTGCTTACCTTCCTAAGGTAAGCTATGTTAGCTGCAGGTGTGTCTGATGTGTTGAACATGAAACAGGAAGTTTTGAGCTGAAATCAGCTCAGAATGAATCCCGATGCAGGTGTGTCACTGGAATATTTCTAACATTTTGAGTTATTTTCCAGTGTTAGAAAATCAGCACTGCTCAATGTTAGCCATTGTTAATCTTCAAAACTGACTAGGTTACTTTTAAACATATAACACTGTCAAAAGTGTTAATTTAACACTCAGAGGTGTGGACCCATATAGACACTCTCCAGTGTTAATTTAACACTGGAGATTTTGCTGTGTAGTGGAGATTTTTTTAGACTATTAGTTTGAGTATTCATGAAAGCATAGATCCTTTTATTAACCTCTACTTATTTTTAAATATTGCTTATATGCGATGGAAATTTTGCTGTTTTCAAATGCAATGACAAAGTCTTTGAATATGAACTTGATTACTACCATGCCGTGTTTAGGACCACGACCACTGAAGGCCACGCCCTCTGGTCATGTGATCATGTGTGGTTTGTAGGAACGCTCCTCTTCCTCAGAGGATCCACCTGTGCTTCCTCTCCTCTCTCCTCCACCTGTTACAGAGAGGGAACGTCCTCCATGATGGAGGAGCTGCTGGAAAGTGCTGAGAGTTTCCTCCAGAGTGAGACCTCTGTCACAGTTCAGAGGATCTACGGCAGCAGAGACCTTCATGGACACTAAAAGTCTCAAACACACAACAACAACATCACACTGACTCCACTCTGACCTCACTGATCAATAATCAAAGAACACACAGATCAAACTGATTGATCAGCCATCAGAGGAGTCGGATCAGTGGAGCTGCTTCTGTTCCTGATGTCCCCTGTTTGATCCTGGACCTGAACTGTAGAGAAGACACAAGACAGTCAGACACACACACACACACACACACACACACACACACACACACACACATATATACACACAGAAATAATCAAACAAACCTTTGAGCTGTACTGTTTTATATCGTATCCGTCCGTTCTTTGAGACTTCACAGATGTATCCTCCACTGTCTCCATCTGTGGGGTGTTTCAGGGTCAGACTGAGGTCTCCAGTTTTCAGCAGGTCTTCATTCATCTTCGTTCGGTCTCTGTAATCCTGGTGCTGTTTGTCAGCCTGGTCAGAGCCGTTCTGATACACGTGGACCTTCTTGTTTGAACTGTCTCTCCACCCCACTTCAGCATCTTCAGGAAGGTTTTCTGTGGTTTTGAAGGGCAGCTGGACAGACTCCACCCCCTCATTCACCTCTACCTGACAGACTGAGAGGATAACAAACACAACATGAGCTGTACAAAGTATGATTGGTGTTCACAGAGCAGCATCATGTGACTCTTGTTCTGCACTAAGGCTACGTTCACACATATACACGGGTATTTTTGAAAAACTGAGATTTTCCGTTTTCGTTTTAAAAAATAATCCCGTCCACACGTAAACCCTGAAATGAAGGAAAATGCTGCTAGGAACATGCCAAAGCAACAGGTGGCAATATATTCCCAACCGTGTAGAAATGTTGGCCAATCAGAAGTCTAGAAGCCTCGGTGGGAAATAGTAAACAAAGATGGGGCATAGAAGCAGAACTGAGTCGTATGTGTGGAGGGACAGTAACTGTGTGTGTATATGTAAACATTTAAACACTGCAGAGAGTAGAATTAACAGTATTGTAGAAATTCATTTCACCAAAACAATAATGCGGCGCACAGTGTGACGTCAAAAAAGGCGCACACTATTTGATGCTGCGTTTTTCTCGTCCACACGTAAATGCAAAAACAGAGTTTTTGAAAATATCCACCCTGGCAAGCGTTTTAAGAAATCTCCGTTTTCAGTGACCGAAAACGCCGTTTACGTGTGGACAAAAGGTGAAAACGCATAGAAAAATATGCGTTTTCAAAAATACCGTGTGGACGTAGCCTAAATGAAGCAATGGAGTGGCGCCTCCTTCAGGCAGAGAAACAGCTCATGGAGAGAAATAATTATTAGAGCAAAAACAAGAGTGGAGCTGCAAATAAGGCCGAGAGGAACGCTGCAGAAAACTGTTCATGTGTGAATTCATCACTTCATAGATTTCTTTGAGCACTAAAATCAGAGCTGCTTCTATTTCTAATATGACAGCTGTACATTAGAGCTGCAACACTTTAAATGTGAGCCATAAAAACATGATACTCTACAAGTGCATTCAGCTCTGACACTGTCACATCATGAAGGAGACGTGGAAATCACTTTGTTACACAAATCAAAGTCAAATCAGTTCTATTGATGGAATATTGTGTGATCAATAGACTGATCAGTTTCTAATCTGTCATCTATCAGCTGGAAATCCAGCATGTCAAACAGACAGGCAGCAGATTAGGACCAAACACAAACACATGGAGACTTTTTCTTCACAGCAGTTGCAGGTAAACTGCAGCAACAATGCGACTCAGACAGTTTCTCTGTAACTGCAGGGCTTCCTGCGCTGCTGTTAGTCAGACACGGATCAACAGGTTGTGGATACAAACTTAAAATCTTGGACTCTGCAAATGGACTATGGAAAACACAAATGTGCACTTCTTAATGGCTCATATGTGCTGTGACAGAGCAC